GTAATGAAATTACACGAGCCACCCGCAGTTAAATGTCTGACTCCTGTCAGTCGATATCCCATTTATTAGGACTAATAGGCCGTGCCTATTTATTGATACATTCACCAGCAAACAATAGTGGATTGAAATAGTCTGCCGGGACACCTTTTATTCATTCATTTCGTTCCTTAATACCATGCAGTAAAATTAAAATCATAGAGCAAACATTGAAGAGCTAATCATGACTGTTTGTCTTTTTTTGTTGTCGTGTTGTCCTCATCTGTTTTTTTTCAGCAAGCTTCAAAGCCTTGGCTCTTTGAATAGGATCATATCATACTTTGAAGGACTGGGTGGTGCAGTTGCTGCGTTTAGCTGTATGTTGTGGTTCTTCTGGAAACAAGTCATCAGAAACCATCTTGAAATTCCCCTGGTTGTTCAAAATGCCCTACAGCTAGAAAATCACTTACCCTGAGAGAGTGAGCTGGTTTCTATTGCACTTTGCTGATGTCCGTTCAATTAAGCTATATATATATATATATATATATATATACTATATCATGTTTTTATTTTTTTAGACCTCTGTTACAGACTGGCAATTTGTCCAGGGTGTACCCCACCTCCCGCCCTATAGTAGCTGGATGGATCCCTCTAATAAACAGTCTGATTATATTCTCACATTGCATGAGTTTATTCATTAAGCATCCAATTCCAGCAATATTAGAGCTACTTTATCAGTCAGAGGTGAGCTTCAGTTAGTCATCTACCCGTTTTAAAGCCTCCTTAGTGTATTAACACCTGTGGTAACAGCAGACTGACAGCCTACACTAACTGCAGATGAACAGCAGCCAAAGGTGACTCTGGGGTTAAACTTGAGAAAATACTGCAAATTATTGGTCTGTTTTTATTCCTGATTTATTCCCAAGTAATGATATTGTTTAAATATGTGAAAATATATTGTGGGCAAAAATGTTTTGACACAAACCTGCCAGCCACCCTCGGCTGCTGGGTGTGGCTATTTATGTCTTTAATCCACTAGATGGATTATGCGCTTGAACTGTGAGGGGTATAAAACCGGACATATAGTGGTGATGTTTTAAAAACTGTACCTTTAAAAATAAACAACTAATGAACATCTGAATCTGGTGTGTTAACAAAAACAAACTATCCCTGTAATGGAAGTATCTCAAACTGTATCAACACACTTTTATTTCAAAAACATGATGAAAACTACCATAAAAGTAGTCAAAGGAGCTCTCACTCGAGAAGTTTCTTCAGTTCTAAGACCTTAGAACTGAAGAAGCTTCTCGAATGAGAGGTGAAACGTCTTCAAGTAACTTAAAGAAGTCCAGACACTTTTCTTTGCAAGCTCCTTTGACTACGATGACCTGGATGACTGAGAACCTTCACTGACATACCATAAAAGTATCTTTACCCCAAGACATTTACATTTGGGGCTATAGAGCCACATTGATTCTGGACTAGCTCTCAACTCCACTGTAAACTAAAAGTGATTTTTGCTCACAATAAAAGGGAATGGAGCTTTTAATATCAGGTAGCAACCACTGGTTGTTGCTGACATCCCAGCAAAGATACCCCTTTGAAAATAAAGTTCATAAATTGTTTTTTAATACTGTGTTGTTATTTTTATTTAAAGTAACCCATGCATGCTGTGTGTATATGACTCATTGAAAAGTAGCTGTGCGTTTACCATGCATCACTGTAATTTAAGTGACACTTGATTACTGCTGTTGTTGTTGTCCTCTGCAGACATATTGCTGAACTTTCGAACTACATTTGTGAGCACGTCGGGTCAGGTCGTCTACGACGCCCGCTCCATCTGCGTTCACTACGTCACCACCTGGCTCTTTGTTGATCTCATTGCCGCCCTGCCCTTTGACCTGCTGTATGCTTTCAATGTCAGCGTGGTGAGTCTCCCCTGTGTCTTACTGTGTGTGCGTGTGTGTGTTTCTGTCTGTTGACATTTGTGTGTGACCACACCAACAGAACCGAGAATCAAACAGTGTGACAAATCAGCCTACGTAATTTAAACCCCAATAGTAAAGTTTAATATTTGAATATTGACATATGTTCAGTTTCCATTCATTTTCAGCACTAACACGGTGAAGGAAGTGAGCTTTTTTTTTAAAGGGAACATGAATGCATAATGTAACAAGCTCCCATGTGAATTCACCACTTCAACATGACGGTCCACACACTGCATGTCTCACAAACAGAAAAGATGAACTGATTACACACGCACATATATATGTACATATATACATATATATATATTTGTATATAAAGATTAAAAATGTTTGATTTCATGTGAGTGAATCCATTAAGGCTCCAACTTTTGAGTAAAACTCCCAACTGTTTGAATAAATGATGTGTATTATATACAGTATCCCACATTACTGAGTATCAAACTTTCTTAATGATTCATTTGATTTAAGAAATACAGTGAATGAAATATTGCCAGAGCGCTGAGATTGCCTGTATCTCTGTGCAGTACTTTGGCGTCCACCTGTTGAAGACAGTCCGGCTTCTTCGGTTACTGCGGCTGCTGCAGAAGCTGGAGCGCTACTCACAGTACAGTGCTGTGGTCTTGACCCTGCTGATGTCCATGTTCGCCCTGCTGGCCCACTGGATGGCGTGTGTCTGGTACTTCATAGGTCAAAGGGAGATTGAGAGCCAAGGATCATCAGACATAGGTTTGTTCGCCCTTTTTTCATCTCTAGAAAGCGTCTGTGTAGATTAACTCAGTTACTGTTTTACTCAAGTTTAATTTTTGTGTTAGGTGTACGTTTCTGTGTTATATTACTTTGTACTTCTACTCTATTAAATTTCATTGGACTTCCTGACTTGTTCAACTAGTCATGTCACGAGTGTGAGTGTTGGGGTTGTTATTCAAAAAACCACAATGTATCACATAGTACTTGTTAGATTTATTAAAAAATAATAACGCAGTATGTCACATAATGTCTAGTTAACAATATGAGCCTAAGGGTAGAGTCCCACACATTCACACAATCCTTTATTTTAATGGGGACTCACATGCAATTTTACTTTTAGTGTTGATGAACACAAAGCAAAGAGACTTTGCAGAGATTACCACGGTGATTGGACTTTAGAAACATGTGCAGTGCTGTGGAAAAAAAAGTATTGGAGCTCTTTCTGATTTCTTGTATTTTACTAGATTTGTCACAGTCACAGATCATCAAATACATTTTAATATTACACAAAGATAACACAAGTGTATACAAAATGCACTTTTAAATTATGACTTATTAAGGAAGCAACGTTATCCAAACCTACCTGGCCCTAAGTAAAAAAGTAATTACCCCTTAAACATAATAACTGATAACTGATTGTGCCACTCTTGATAGCAAGAACTGTAAACAAGTGTTTCTCATAACAGTCATTAGTCTTTCACATCACAGAATTGTTTAAAGTCATCCACACTGGAGGATGAACGTCCTGTTCATCCTGCGCGTTTCTTGACTGTGAAAATGAGTTCACTGTACTCGGGGCGATCGATCGTGGCTCAAGAGTTGGCTGTTCGAGCCCCGGCTCGGACAGTCTCGGTCGTTGTGTCCTTGGGCAAGACACTTCACCTACTGCCTACTGGTGTTGGGCAGAGGGGCCGATGGTGCGATATGGCAGCCTTGCTTCTGTCAATCTGCCAGCTGTGGCTACAACTGTAGCTTGCCTCCACCAATGTGAGAGTGAATGAATAGTGGAAAGCGCTTTGAGGGTCAATCACCAGTCACCAGATCTCAGTGGATGTGCAGTCAAGAAATCTGCAGCACCTGTGTGATGCTATCATGTCAGCATGAACCAAACTCTCAGAGGAATACCTCCAGGTCATTACTGAGCCTATACTTATGGGGGCGATCGTGGCTCAAGAGTTGGGAGTT